GATTATTACATACGTATTCGTGTATGAAGTCTTGTGTAAAGGATATAAAGCTATAGCTTTTAATGAAAATCTGGCTTTAATCATAAATTACAAAGGCAACGTTCGAAATTCGTAAAAAGAGAGATTTACTGGCAAGCTAGATTGAATTTAACCATATAACATGAACGAATCATTCGGTATTTATCGATTGGTATTCAAAAATGTCTGATAGGCCACGTCACGTGCCGTCCAGCCAGCGCTCACAATAGACGGAGCATTGTTTTCATAAGCGATCGCGGGCTCATTGTCTCGTCACTCTCCAGCAGCAGCGGCGGATAACGTCCTCCCGCCGCTATCACGATGTCGTTATTATGAGACCCATTGCGCCGGTAGACTGACAACCTCTTTACACCTGACGGAAGACCATCGACGGCTTTATCTCCTTCATCAATCTCGGAATTGAAAAAAAAATAGACGTGAACAAGAAGTTTCAGTAGACCAATCGGAGATAAAACGGAACAACCAAAGAATTTTATTCGAGGACGTGCAGCAAAGGAGGTCAAGGCTAATTGACCGAGATACAGTGATCTCGTTTGACCTGAAAAAGGAGAAGACCGGAGTACCCTGTATCTTGGAATTTCCTCGCGTTGACGTAATTCCGCGAGGACAGGTGACGAGACGTCTGTGTGGCTGTGCGTGGAGGAAGAGGCAGAGGGTCGAGTCGATAAGGGATAGAGAGGGGTGCGTGGTGAAACGCGACGAGAGGGTGAAGTGAAGGTGTTCTTGTGGGGTGCCAGAGTGAGCACGATAGCACCTCTGGTGCCCTCGGCCGTGGGTCCCGAGGGGACGGACGCCATGGCGGCCTCTTCGTCCTCGTCGAGCGGCGAGCAGCAATACTCACTCAGGTGGAACGACTTCCACTCGAGCATCCTCAGCTCATTTCGTCATCTGAGGGACGAAGAAGATTTCGTGGATGTGACCCTGGCATGCGACAGTAGCAGCTTCACCGCACACAAGGTCGTTCTCTCTGCGTGTAGCCCTTACTTCCGTAGGCTCCTCAAGGTCAGTGAATTTTTATTCATTCTCATACTTCCTTATAAAATTCTATTAGTCGTTTCGCCAAATTACGAATTGAATGTAATATGTGATCTACGATATCGAAGTTGTCAGGATTTGGGTTACCTAGACTGTTTCTCTACATGTTCTTAGCAATTTCAAAGTGAAATCGATTATGAAAATATCGAATTGTTAATTATATTTTAAAAAGTAGCATTCCTAACTATTTTGCGTTCTTTGCTGCAAAGTGAAATCGCTTTCGCGAGAAATATTCATTCATACTTCCTCATGCGTGGAAACAATCGGAAAGCAATTATACTTTCTTAATTTTATCAAATCATGTTCGTTCTCCTTGTATTTTTATTGACATGATTTTATTGACATTTTATTGCGAATGCTATTTTTAACGACACTTTCGGATTGTATCAGTTTCAAGAGATAGAATCTTTCGGTATTTAATTTTTAAACCCTCAATTTTTGTCGAATTTCCCAAAAAACGATTGAAGAAATTGGCTCTGAAAAAGCGGATTTGCACCGCGTGCGCGTAATGCAGCTGATGCGCGTGTTAAATTCGGACGAAACATCCCTGTGGCAATTTTGAGAGCGGAAGAGCGTAATTACGTTCTCTTGACGGCGGGGTAAGAATCCAGGAAGGACTTCCGGTCAGATTTACATAATAACACCGCGGCACAGACTGTCGACGTCAAACGACTCGAACCGTTCTTGCCAAGGAGCTATCAATCTCTTAAACGTGTCGTCACGACATCGCCCATCGCATCCACCTCTTCCAGAACCCATTTACTTGAATTCTGTCTTGATCGATAACTTTCGTCGCTGTCCCCCGAAGGGGATTCATCCTATAAATCGTGCTCTCGGACGAGGTGTCCCCATTGTTCTCCAAGGATTAACTGCCTCGTAACAAGTTCAGAACAATTAGTGAAATTAATTAATAGAAGTGTCGTTCCTTATTTACGCATACCAGCCTCCATAATAATAGTATAATGAATAATTAAACGCATTAAAATTGTGTCATGATGCAGCACAGAAAAATAAAAAGAATAAAAATAAGAAATGAAAGTTGTATCGGATTAATTAATTACAGATAATTAAAACGATAAAAAACAAACACGGACGAAGAAAAATGTTAATCTCTCTGCAAGTGGAAATCATTCCGTGCCGTAGTAATTAATTTTTAATGTTTTCATAAAATTAATATGGAATAGAGACATAAACTCTGAAAAGTTAGATGCGTGTGGATATTCTAAGAATTTCGGTCAAGTATCGTCGGGTATTTATGCGATAGGCTCAGGTAGTTAAATTTTTTCTCTAGAGGTATAAATCAAGTAACCTAGATAGAACTGTCGCGATCGTCGTAGTTCAATAATTCCATTTCATCCGGGATAAAAAATTACAGCTTAAAAGTGGAATTATTAACGTAGACATTGAAAATCTAATCCCCGCTTCGAAATTTTCTACACATTAACACTGTTGCCAATATCAATCACGGCTAAAATACAGGCTACGATACAAGCAGAACGATTGTCTCACGTTCCAAAGTTCGGCTAGGCGAAGAATTGACATCAACGAGGCCATCTGACTTTCTAATTGACGCATACAGCTAATTGATTTTAAGTGTCGGACGCGGTACTACGTACGTATGAACGTACATACATACTTACTCGGTCTCGATGATAGAGTAACGCGATGATACGTCCCCGTGTTTGCGTCATGACAGCGTACAGAAGCTGCCGGACTGGTAACAGTGTACACTACACATATGTATATATGTAGTGGTACCGTGCAATTTAAATATAAGTCACGCGGACGATGTAATAAAAAACAATCATTGCGTGGCCACGAAGGTGGAGTCTTTTACACTCATTAATATCGTCGTTATTGCATATACACATATCTGTACTTTCACCGGTATCTCTATGACGTTCGAAGCTTCATAATATCCATAGACACATCGTTTCGCCAGTTATCGTTGCTCTATTTATTTGTTGCTCGTAGAGATATAAGTAGATAGGGAAAAGGTGGTTGAAATAAGTGGTTGGCGCAATTAGCAAAGGATTAATAATGAGTATGCCGATGTTGTGTGTCGGTCCAGTACGGCGTTGTGTATTTTTGTCGGGATTATTTTCGCGTGTACTCGATATCGCGTGCGCGTGACGCAACGATAACGAGTCTGCCTGAAACAGCTGACAGCCGTGCGCGTTTTGATTTATGCGTTAGTAGTGCACACCGGTGCAGCGATTTACGACAGCGCCGTTCATTTGACTATCGGCCGGCAGTCGATGACGAATCACTGAGTTATCGACTACGCCCGCGATGGTATTTGCCAAAACGCGATCCGCGTCTATCCGTAAGTACGCAACCCTGCCATCGATAATAAATTTCAACCTGTCCCGGATCAATAACGCATTGCACCTAAACGATAGATCATGTAAATGCACGAGTTTTCAGGATAGAGCATGATTAAAGTGATTTGGATTGCAAATCACTTTTCAATTAAAATAATCTGATAAAGGGAAGCTGTTACCTGCGGGGCATCCGAAGTTCACGCACATTTTGAAAACTATAATCTTTCCAGTATTATCCGGATACATTATAATAGGATGAATCTGTTGAACTATACAAAAAAATAAGAGTACGACGGCATATAGTAAAACCTTTCTGGAATCGTGTGTCAATCATGTTCATGCGAAATAACAGGAGAAGTTACGGTAATTCAAACACGAAGTTCCGCGGAGATTAATCCCTCGCAAGCGGTCATCATGGTTGTTTGGAGCATTAATGCAGTTATCTCCAAGCGTGACAGACTCTGAAAGGCGTGTCTCTCTACACTGTGGCGAAAGAAGAACGGAGGGATATTACAGAAAACAGGCTCGACTAGTTTCCTCGTAGTTTATCGTTGAGTTTCGTTGTGATCGTACCGATCCGCGGTCACATTCATTGATACAAGAAAACCGAGTAATTAAGGTGAGCCTATCGTCGATATAAATTGCACCGTACCTTTCCGTCTGACAGCCCCACGTAATCGAGGCACAAAGCTGGAAGGAATATATGATATCAAATCTGTCGCGATTTCTGCGATTGTAAAACGAAACGACATCCATTAGTTACATTTTCAAAGGCCACTGAGTTTCTGAACAAATATAATCGAACTCTGTATCATTTGCAATCAAACATTATTAATGTTGGTGAACGAAACGTAAGACCGAGTCACGTTGCGTTCGATCCGTGTGCTTCATTGAAGGAACTGCAGCAGTATGCGGTCATTGATAAAGGAAAACTTGCATCTTCCACGGTGGATAATAATGGCTCGTATAAAATCATGGTTTACGGTGTGTTGACGCTGCACAGTGACTTTACGAGACACAATGAATATTTAAAACGTCTCGTGAAGAATCGCGTAACGCCACGTCGCGTTGGTCAGAGAATTAGTGGAAGCAGTCTGTTTCGTGCGACTCGTTATTGTGTTCACGGAATCGTAGACTTAACGGGTGCCACTGCTATATTAATCGCAAGAAATCGGTCGCGTATCCACAACCCAATCCAACAAAAGAGGAGAACGGCCCACGCGTGCTACGTGAAAATAATAAGCGGGGTCTGTATGCTGAAATAAGATTAGATGAATTAGAAATAGGTTATAATTAAATTTGACTTGTACAATGATTGTCAACAGTGGTACAACAAGCACAGGATTCATTTAAACAGTGTTTCATATTATTTCGAAATTCAGACAAAACATGCATTGGACACTGTGTAATTGAATCTTCAGTTCATTCAAGCAGAAGAAGCTTTTTATATACTTTAATTAAACACTGATTCGAGGCGAATACTTTATAGCTTCGTTTAGTATAAAATTTAATTCCCGGCTCGAGACTCGGCTTTGCTCCCTGGACGGGGAGAATCTGTTTCGAGAGAAAACACGGAGAAACTCCGATGGAAGACGAAGACGCGTCGTAAAGCTCACGGAGACTCGTGGTGGTGAGTGCAGGGAACAGAAAATTACGCTTGCACAATCCCATCGAGTCGTCGCGGTGGCGGGCAAGGTGCTCCATATTCTATATTTAAAGGCGTACACAGGACGCGGTACGCGCGTGTGCGTGAGTACGTGCGCTCGCTCTCATTGCACTCTCACCCTCACGTACTTACCCGAAGCGCGACACTTGCGGTTCTCATCCCGTGACCGGTCACATTTAAATTTACCAACGATGCGCGCCGCCGAGGCGCTCCTGATACGACAGAGAGAGAGAGAGACGAATGTTGGTTCGGAAAGAAAAAGAGAAAGAATCGAAGAAATAAAAGCTGTATAGACGGGAAAGAGAAGAGGATAGGAACATATGCTGGAAATATACGGGACGGTCTCGTTTGTTTCCGGTTAACGGGTGGTGATTCGAAACGCGACTGTAACGAGAACCTTAACGTCTCAGGGGAGGAGGGGGGTGGGGCGAAGGGCTGTTGCTCGAAGAGGATCGTTGTTTCTATTTTCTACTCGGAGCGCCTCAAGATCGTACGGATCGACGACGAAATGATACGACCCGGCTGGATGTAAGAAAGGGAATCACTTTGAGATCCAGCGTGTAATTTACGAGCGTGTAAAAGAGACACCGCGCGAAGATACCGTGAGGAAATCTCGCTGCTCTACGTGCAACATATTGCAACGGGTTATTTACGCGGTTGATAGCAATGATCCTGGAAAACGTTTCCAATCTACGGACGAATCGAAATTCATAAATATCCGGTTGGACGTCGTTGAACAGTTATATACGTCCTAAGCATTGCTAAACGCAGGAAATGAAAAATTATTCTAGAATGAATTATGTGTCAGTATAATCGTATAAGCACTTTCCTTGAATATCTTGGGATTACATGATAAGGATCATCGAACATCACGTATAACTTATCGATATCGAGATAGGCTAATCAAGCTCGGAGTATCAGCCTCGATACGAAGTCGAAAATATCGTATTTTATATTATTCTTGGAATCACGCTAGA